TAGAGTTTGATGACCACAGGCAGGAATGATTTCCTGTGGCGCTCTGTGGTGCATCTGGGTGAGAGGAGTCTTCTGCTGAAGGTGCTCCTCTGCTGGGCCAGTGTGTCATAGAGAGGGTGTGAGACATTGTCCAAGAACCCCCTGGTTCCTGTCTTTATGCTAAGCTAAAGGCTTTAGAGGTATATTTAGTAGTAGTATTGATCTTCTCATCCATCTCTTGGCAAGAAAGTGAATAAGCTTATTCCCAAAATGATGAACAATTCCTTTCCACAGTTTTTAATCTTTTGAAACTAAATATTGTTTAACCATAACATACGTTTCTGAATTTAAAGAAAACACTTGATATAATGACTAGAGAGGAATTAGTATAAGATGGTTGGCCATGTCACCCTGAAATTTTCTGATCAGGTTTTATTATTACACATCAATAAATAAGTAGCATAAAGTCATTTTGATGTTTATTTTACTTATACCTAAGAACTGAAGGTAACAATATTTTCTGATTAATAGGAGCTTCACAACAACAAAAGAAATCCTCACACACCTTTGATGTCAGTAATCTTCCTGCTTTTGTAGCCTGCAGCCAGATGCTGCTGTGTGGAAGAAGACGGTTGTCTACAAATATTTGCCTGAATGACTGTGCTCTCAGGGCGTTTGGAAAGTGCTCACATGTTTGGAAACTAATGGCAGTGGAGCTAATGGGCGTATTGATTGCTTTTCAATTGGGGAGCCAGCAGCCTCACAAATTAGATGTTTTCAGCAGCTCTATTTATCATCCAAGAGGCGTTCATTGTCAGGCTGGAGAAGTTTGAACAACACATCACATCGGCTTGATTCAATTTAAGTCAATTGTAGATGCTGTGGAGGCCTGGTGGTAAACCCAGGACAGATTTGGGTTTTTGGCACTATATATACTGACATAGGAAACGTTTCTGCAAGAATAACACATATTTCTTATTGTAAAATTTAATTTAAAATGAATGCAGTTTGGTTCAACAGGAAATGAAGATGCAGTTCCAGTCTTTGTAAAACTAAAGAAACAACATTAAAATGTCTCCTGCACTGTAATGGTGATCAAGAATAAGGGTGCAATCTGAACTACACTGAGTACAGCACACAACTGCAAAATGTACGTGTGTAATAACCCCAAAAAGGCAGATTGGTAGCAGAAACCCAATAACATAGTTCCAATTGAGGCAAGATAGAGACACATTTACCAGGTGTGCCAGCTAATTGGCCTGTGACATCATCAGCTTAATTGATACAACTGAGCAATCAGCTGGCACACCTGATATCTACTGGCTCTGCTAGCTCCTGATGATGGTTTTAATAGAAAACCAAGCTCTGATCAGCAAATATTCTGTTTAATATTATATGTTTGTTTCTGTTACTAAAAATAAAATGTAATTCAATTCAATTCAGTTTTATTTGTATAGCACCAATTCATAACAAAAGTTATCTCAGGACAACTAATAACTTATAACTCAAATAGAGCAGGTCTAGACCGTACTCGTATCAGTTGCCTTTACTTTGCATTTGACTAAGCTTAGCTGTTGTTCAGAGTCCAAGACTGCGTGGATGCAAACACTGACAGTATATAATTAGTATACAGACCTTCTGGGTCTGTGAAGCAAAGGAAACTTGGAAGTATATTAAACCTGCATTCTTTCTAATGGCCAGCAGGGGGCAGCTTGTTCATTTAGTAAATGATGGTCCCATTTAGAGTAAAATAGACTATAAAGCAGGGTGTGCATTAGGGCGTGGCTTGACAAGTCATTATCAGTGAGTCCGTCCTGCGCAATGCATGAAACTCAGGCATTGCTGATCCAATATGAGTCATTATTCTCTTACCGCAGACATATTTTATTGTACTGTTTATCTGTAATACGAGAACGTGTGTGACCAGGCAATTGTTTAATATTTTCACTTATCCTGAAAATGAACACACACAGACAGAGGGACTCCTGGTACATTGTATCAGCCTAAACTGTCACACAACCACACTACCCATTTCCCCTCCTGCAGATTTTTTGGAAGTATCAGCAATTGCAGCGACCCTCTCACCTGTCTGGAACAGTTTCAGGACGGTCCTCCTTTAAACTTGCCACCCTGTGTAACACCCTTTTTGGTTCAGCTCACAACTGGTGAGACATTATGAGGATAGAGATCTCCACCAGCTGGGGGTGTGAGGACAAATTCCTTCTTGCATTACTCTCTGAGGATTACATGGATGAACTTGAGGAACAGATTAGGACACGTGTGCAGGGAGATGATGAAAGCATCCGTGACTTTCCCTGCATGTACCGAGCTCTCTGCTGCAGATGGAAACTGAGGCTGTAGTAATCCAGCTCATATTAAAAAATGTACGCCCACATTTGGTGAGCCGGTTGAAAAGGAACTGTGGTGAGTTCTGTGTTTTTTTTTCTTTGTGTGTTATTTGGTTGCTAGTTCTTGTTTATTAAAGCGCTGTGAGCAGCTGAGAGTTTCATCTGTACTTGAAGGGTTTGATTTGTACAAAATAAATAATAGCCGTAGCCAGCTCTGAGGTCTGAAGAATTCAACAAAAAAAAATCTATATTTGATTTTATGACGATATTGTTCAAGAGCATAACAAAGAAGGAAGGTCCACACAGTAACCAACCAATTAACCAATAACTTATCAAATACAATACAATACTGTGTTCAGTCAATCAGTGATGAAGTTGGGGTCTGGGGCGCTTTGAAAGGTGCTAACTTAAACTAAGTGTAACATGAGCCTAAAGGCTAAACCAAACACAATGAACACCAAACAAAAGAGTGAGAGGAAGCTATCTTGGAATCACCCAGGTTTTAAAGGCTCCAAGCAGGTGACACCAATCCCTCAACAAGGTGGGAGGGGGCAGACAAAGCCCAGGGCCTTCACACCCCCCCACCCATAAAATGAAGACCCCCTACTAATTGGGTCTTTACTGTTAGCCACTACATTTTCCCAACTTTTAATATGATGTACATCTAGTGTATAAGGCCTGAAGAAATAGTAGCCACCTTTGATTGCTATTCTGCATACTGGACAGAAAAGTCAATGGATTCTGATCTGTGACATTGAAATATTTCCAAACCAATGCCAGTGTCTCCTCCTTAACAACTGAATCATTTAACTGGTGACTAAACAAGGCGATTAAACTTATGTAAGAAGATGCAGATGGAATGTTCAATTCCCCCTTCTCCTTCTTGTAGGAGGACAGCCCCGGCACCAGTTTCACTTGCATCCACCTGTATCTTTAAAGGTTTGTCAAAATCAAGAGCTGCAAGGAGAGGAGCAGAATATCAGAATCAGAATCAGAATCAGAAATACTTTAATAATCCCCGTGGGGAAATTAGAATAGATCAGTTTTCAAACACAAGTATATATATAATTGCTATACAACAACAAACTGCACAAACTGCCCAGTGGTAAAGGTTGTATGAATAAATTGAGGAGAATATTTGCTTAACAAAACGACTAAATCCAATATTTTTGTCCAGAAGAGCTAAAGTCAAGCAGAAGTGGTACAGATGAAAACTGCAGTATAAATTGTGCTGCAAGGGCTGCAACTCAACTCAATATCAGGGAGTGGTCCAGACTAAATCACAAGACAAATCATAGAGACACTAAATGCACAAAGGTATTTAGTGTCTCTATGATTCAACAGACAGCATACTGTTTACACAATCATTTTAAAAAACTCAAATTAAATACTGTTTTTTAGTGGCACACTGATTGAATTCTAGCTCCAGATTAATTACCTCGATCCATAGATGGTGCTGTGTCACTGATAGACTGCAGCAGGGAAAACCTCTCAAGATTAATGCTTTAATTATATTTTGATTAATTTTTACATGGAATTTGGTAATTAGAGTTTGATGAATCTTGAATATAGCACACGGGCCAGTTCCCCAGCCATTCATGTTTTTGATGATTAATCTCAAAGTGAGGCGTTGTTTCACGGCCTCACGCAGTCAATCATTCTGCAGTTTGGGGAGCAGGTTCACGCAGGTTGCTTTCATTTATCCCCCTCGGAGCCAAACTGAGAGCAATCACAGAGGTGTGCAGTTACAAGTAGATGTCACATATGCGTGCTGATACTGTAGAGGAGGAATAATGCAGGTCAAAGGTCAGGATTCAGTAACTCAGGATTCTGAGTTCTGCTAAAGGACACTTCAGCAGACACTTTGCTGTGTTTGAGGCTTGAATCTGAACTGCTTTTTAATATAATGTGAGGACAATTGTCTCTTACTTAATGTATAATTTTTAATTGTAGCCATTAAATTATGCTAACATAATTGATTGGTCGTTTTCGTTCAGACGCAGTGGATTCTTACAAATGCCATTAGGAGCACTAGGAGGAGCCAGAGGAACCGGATTTTTTCAGAGCTTTAATGATCAATTAGTGTATTAGTGTATTTTAATAACAGCTGATTATGATAAAGAACTTGTTTTTGTTTTTTGGTACAAATGATGAATTAATTTATATAATCAATATATATTTAATAATTAGAGGTGAAACATTCTTTTTGTTCTGGGTTAAATGTTGCAATTCTGGCATGAAAATGGTCACATAAGTAAATATCGACTCTGTAAGTCTATTAAAAGCTGCAGAAAGGTAGAAAAATCTAACTTACTGCATGCCATGCATGCCATCCATCTCAATATCTTTCAAGATTTGCTCCTCTGATGGATTTGGGCTTGCTATTTCAGCGAAAATGTAGAGAGATGAGCCTCCTGAATTTGCTCCTAGAATCTGTCTTTCAGAGCTTTTGTAATTGCCAACGCAGCCTCCATATTTCTCGACCGGGAAAGAGGAAAAAAAAAGGTATGGAGACAGCAAAGAATCATTTGAAAAATGTAAAAATATGACCCCAAATCACAGAGATGCAGATTGTCATGGGACTCATATTATCATGAGTGAAAAATGGCACCACAAACTGTAATTTAAGTTGAAAATTCTGGACATGGCAGATTCAAGTGAGATTAAGATCACAGACAACCTCCACCATTATTACAAATTACTAGAAGTCCCCAGGTAATACCATAGACTGTATAATTAAAAATGGAAAATTTAGTTGGGTGACTCAAATAAAAATGGAGGAGAAATTAGCTATAGTTATAGTTATATAGAAACAGTTTTTGTACCAGGCTGTAATCATGTTTTTTTCTGCTCTAAAGTTGGGCATTTTAATATGGGGCCTTATGGAGAATGACTCACTTCTGGAGCCAGCCTCAAGTGGGCGATAGAGGAATTGCAAGTTCCGACACTTCTGTTGGCCTCATTTGCAGCCGCAGATGTTGATGCTGTGGTTATATAAGTCCCGTGCGAATAGGGCACAAGGTGAGTGTTTGGCCTCCATGTTTTGCTGCTCCGACTTTGTTTTTGAAGGCTGCACATCATCTCTGGGGTGGAATTTTGCTTTAGGGTCAAACTGGTGCTAAACTGCAATTACATTATCTGGCATCATTTTTGCCACAGTGTTTCCCACCTCGGTAGCTGCCTGATGTGGGCCAACCCGTGTGACACAGAAAACAACACAAGCTTCCGCTTTCTAAACTTCAAAGTTGGAAAAAAATAAATATAAAAACTCAACATCCTTCCAAACATGACAGCTGACCGAGATTTGTGTTGGAAGTCTGAAGAGTCTGGAGAGGAAAAAAACAAAACAAGGCTGGGGTGGAAACAATTTTGTTGGTTGATTGGTGTGCCGGGAGAAACATCTGCGTTGGATTTCCGAGCGCCAGGGAAGTACATGAAAGTGCGCTTTAGAGGATGAGAAGTGTCTGTTTTTTGACACGAGAAGCAGCATTTTGACAAGCAGGGCGCTCCCTCGGGGAAACGCTGCCTTCAGCTGCAGCGTCTCACTGTGAGTCAGGGTGAGTCAGACGGTGTACAGACCCAACACGACGGCTTTGCCTGCTGGAAAGACAAACGGCTGCCAAGCAATGGAGAAAGGCGTATAGAACACGACTGCATTTTCTTTTCCCTTGAGATGAGTTTTGTTTTTTGAGGGCAGCGTAGCAGATCAGCAGTTTGCTCCAACCCCGGGTTCATCACCCAGTACAAGTTCAGAGGTACCAGCACTTTTCTTACGTAGATATCAGGAAAAAAATACGACATTTTTACTGCACTGGTTACTTTGCAGACTCGGATTTATTGTTGATAAGTTCTCCTAATATTTATTTTTCTTTCTTTGTCTTTGTCTTTTTCTACCCCCTAAAAAAAGCAAGAAGAATCCAAACACTACTGGTCCAATGTTGTTGCTGCCACAGTATTGTGTTGAATACAATAATGAATAATGAATTGGATATATTATTTTTTATTTAATTTTTATTTTTTTTACAACAAATGCAGAAAATGGGTAAAGTAGAAATGTGCTTTTACGTAATGTAATCATTTTTGAATGTACTACTAAAGGTGCAAGTTCTTCTTCAACTGCTACGGTTCAAGTTGTGAATGTCCAATTTCCATTCACATGCAGGTCTACTGGACTAGTGACTCTAAATTAAGCACAGTGTGATGGTGCTGTGATTCTCTCTGTGTTCTACCCATTATATGCTCTGACAGTCCGTGCCAAACTGTGTGTCTGTGGACCAGCTTCACCAGTCTCATGCAGCAGGTTTACTGTACTGTCTGGATAACCTCACTGAACACCTAGAGGACTATCCATCACTGCATGTTACAGATCCCATCTGTTACTCCAGATAGAGTTATCCAGATAACTCAGTGAACCTGCTGAAGAAATGCATCCCTGGTGGATGATATATACAATATATACACAATATCACCTTGCTTATATAATATATTGAATTGTAACCCCTGCATTGTGATACATTTTGTATCACCAGATTCTTGCTAATATGGAGCGCTATAGCTTGCATTACTCCATTGTGTATTTTCAAGGAAGACGACTTTGTTTGAGGGTTTCTTTTCACCTGAAAGATGTCATTTAGCTTTCAGTTTTTCAGTTTTAGCTTTCAAGGCCAGAACAGAGTGTTGTTGTAAAATGTACTTTATTATTAGATATATGATGTCTCTGCATGCCTGTGGTTGCTGTGCAGCACAAGCACCAGGTGCCTTTTGAACTCAGTTGTGGGAGCTAATGATACGTTAAAAAAATGTATTGTCATGTTTATGAAGACACTTGTATAAGTGCAGAGTTTGTTGTGTGAAGGTTAGAAATACTGAGGATTTACATCATAACACTATATCTATTCAGTTTGAGTTTAATAAACAATGGATTTTGGCTAATGTGAGGGATCCATATTTGTTTACTATTTTAGGTACCAAATTATTGAGCACCATATATTGGAGCTTTCAGAAATGAGTTTCCCAATAATAATAATGACTGACGTGAATGCAGTCAAACATTGATAATTACAGCAACTCCCACTTGACATAAACAACACAGCATAACTCCACTGATTCAGAATGACGTTTCGCTGTGTAATTAACAAATGCACTTGATGAGATCTTCATTTTGCAGAATATTTGTTTTTAGTTGACAGAAGACAGAGGCAAGGACAAGAGAGAAGGATGGCTTGACCAAGCTCCTTGACCAATCAATTCTCAAACACACTGTGGCAATTCAGACTTCTGTTGTGAGTTTTGTTGGCCTCCATTGTGTTGTTGCACCAGCAGTGATGTTGTTTGAGACAGCTGTTCCCTCATTAGGTCTGTAAAATTGCTCTATCCAGGCTGATCGAGTTGGTTAGCCCTTCAAACCTAAATGGTGATACATACTATACTAGTATTTATATGCAAGACAGAAAATACTGAGCTGTATGATGATGCAGTAGAAAGAGAAATAATGGACTCAGTGGGAGATCCATGTGCTGCCGGCCTGAACATATAAAAATGAAGGCATGTTATGTATTCAAGGCATGTACTGTAGACAAAAGCCAACACTGTAGCAGGCAGAGAGGAAAAATAAAATTAAGATATCGATGTAGGAAATGTGCAGTGCCTGAAATCTACAGAACAAACACATCAAAGCTCTTAAGAGCCACAGGTGAGACAGAAAAGAAGCTGAAGGTGATGCTTTTCTCTTTTTAAATCACTGTGAATTCACATCTAATTTCTGCAGAAGGCTCAAGTTCAGCTCGCAAGCCAGCTCTGATCCTTCTGTTAGAGGCCGACAAGCAGAGGTCATTAAACTGATGGTCCTTGTCAAAAAGCCAACCACACTCCTCAGTGAAGAGGAATGTGTCCGTCGATCACAGCCCTTCTCCAGGCTGGACTGCAGGAATTCTTCCAAGGTGATGATGACCTGACAATAAAAGTTCAGACAAGACTTTTAATGGTTGTTACACACAGGCGCTACACAGAAACATCTGGAGCCTTCGACATTTTTCAAACAAGGACAGCAGCAGGTTGGACCTTTATCCTCTTTTAAGGCTGTATGAAGAAAGGAGTTCTTACATTTATAATAGGTAGTCTGTTGCATGCAAAAACGTCAAAAGCAGCCGACATTAGAAAAGGACAGTTCATGTGTTGAAGTAATTACACGTTCTTAACGTTTTAAAAAACTTAATTGACGTTCTGCACTGTTTTTCTCCCACTCCCACACAAATGGAGTCTGTGGACTTAAGTCCTTGTCCTGTGAGTATTATATGACTGACAGGAATCAGAATGTATCATTATGCAAAAAATGGGTTACAGGTTACAGAGCTCATAGCATGTATCTAAACAAAAGCTCTTTATTTAGCCATATTTAAACAAAAGCAACAAGCACGTTTGAACATACTGAGCCTACAGATGGAGAGTTGAGAAGTGGATTAAGCTGCAGTTTTGATTTTTATTTCCTGTCATGAAAGATGTTCAGTATTAAATTCATTGTAACATACAATTCAAGCTCAGCATAGCTGCTGTTCTTGGTTACTGTCCTTTACTGTCCTTTTTGTGAATTTCCCCTTGGGGATGAATAAAGTATCTATCTATCTAATCTATCTATCTATCTTTAACAATCCGGTCTCAAAGTCATCAAATACTGCAGCTTGGTCAGTGGCTCTCCAGTTCATAATATGTAGGCACTGTAGGTATCCCTCTAGCGTCATTTCTGGA